GGGTTAAGGGTTTTAGGGTCTAGGGTTTAGGGTTTAGGGACGAGGCTTCGGATCCGGGGTCCTGATCCCAAGTTACCCCTGTAGGTAAGCCGGTCTTTTAGGGGCCTTAATACGTAGAATAAGGTTTTAGGTTTTAGGGCTTAGGGTTTAGGGATAGGGGCCTTGATAAGTAGAATAGGGTTTTAGGTTTAGGGTTGAGGGTTTAGGGTTTAGGGATAGGGGCCTTAATAAGTAGAGTAGAGTTTTAGGGTTTAGGGTTTAGGGATAGGGGCCTTAATAAGGAGAATAGGGTTTTAGGGTTTAGGGTTTAGGGTCTAGGGGCCTTATAAGTAGAACAGGGTTTTGGGGCCCACTATACTAAACTTCGAATCAGGAACCCCCCAAAGTAGTATTGGTAATTGTTCAGGCCCCTATATTAAGCCCCATAACACGCCTTAAACCCCTGAACCTTGAACCCCTGCACCCAAAAACTGCGAAGTAAGCTCTAAGCCCCTGAACCCTGAACCCTAAACCTAAACCCTTAACCCTAAACCCTTCTGCGAGCCTCCTCTGTGAGAACGACATCCGGCCACTGTCATCACGGGTGCTGGGGCAGTAGACACCTTCAGGGCTCAGGGTTTAGGGTTTAGGGTTTAGGGTAGCGCTGCCTGAATGCCCTAAGCATAGACACGACATTTTGAAAGCTTTGAAAAACCTGGCCTCTTGGGCACCAAAACCCACATTTCTCACACAGTGTCACACGCCCCTCACTACGCCCCAAACCTAACTCCAAAACACAGGCCCCACACGCCTCGCCAAAACCCCAGTCAAAATGCCCCTGGACCCCAACCCCCAAACTTCCTAAACCCTAGACCCTAAAGCCTAAACCCTAAACCCCAAGCCCTAAACCCTAAACCCTAAAACCCTAAACCCTAAACCCTAAACCCTAAACCCCGAGCCCCATGGATCCTAAACCTGAACATGTATCCTACATCCCCCACCCTGCGACCCAATAGGCCGATTTCACAACGTCTCGGCCTTTTGGGGTTTAGGGTTTAGGGTTTTTTTTGAGGATCCATGGGGCTCGGGGTTTAGGGTTTAGGGTTTAGGGTTTAGGGTTTTAGGGTTTAGGGTTTAGGGCTTGGGGTTTAGGGTTTAGGCTTTAGGGTCTAGGGTTTAGGAAGTTTGGGGGTTGGGGTCCAGGGGCAT